ATGAGACAGGGACCTGCCCCTCCCTAAACATAAAGCCTCGGCTTTCCTCTTCCAGTTGACGAAGAAGAGGGTCCAGAGCGATGTTAAACAACATAGGAGACATGGGATCCCCTTGTTTGACGCTTCTCATCAGAACGATGGGGCGAGTAGACTGGCTGCCTACTCGAAAGGACGTCGAACAACCACTGTACATGTCCTCCACAATTCGGACGAAATGCGGGTGGACAGCGAACCTTTCTAGGCTGGTCAGAAGATGTTTGTGACCATCTGTGTCAAATGCCTTCGACAAGTCAAGAAGCCCCAGAGCCAGAGTTCCCTTTCGCTTAGCCCTCCTCAAAGAAAACTGAAGCAGGAAAATAATATCCCTACTCCCAGCCTGAGGGACGAAGCCTCGCTGTCGGGGATTAATCTGCACCGCCCGCTCGAGACGGCGTGCCAAGATCCTGGTGTATAGCCGCAACACAATCGAGGAGATTGTGATTGGCCGCCAGTTTCTGACATCCCGCAGATTGCTCTTCCCTTTCGGGATGAGGACTGACCTATTTGACTTCATGCATTCGGGGATGCGACCCGAGAATTGCCAAAGGTTAAACACATTTGCCAAGGAAACATGGATGCCATTTTTAAGACGTTTTTGGAGGAACGGTAGGGTAATCTTATCAGGGCCAGGCGCCCCGTTCTTCATACCCTGAAGTGAGTCCATCACTTCGGTTGGCGTAAACGGTTTCAGGAGGTCGGTGTTATTGGCCCCTGGTGGCCTGGGGCAGTCATCTAGAGAAACTCTATCATTTGACACACCGTAGACCTGATCATAGTGGTCTTTGATCTCCTCCTTTTTGAGGTTACATGTGACGGCTTCCCGGCCGTCTAGTATTTCCTCAGCCAGGCGCTTTCGCTGGAGGTCGTACATTCTCTGAAACCGCTTATAACGTTCCACACGATGGAGACGCCTTTTAAATGGTCTTCGTGCAGGTGTATTGTTTTCTGGCACCTGCTTGGTTGTTCTCTCATGATTCCAAGACGATTGAACATGGGCAAGGTTTTCTACCCATTCTTGTGTCACGATTTCGATCTCCTGCCATACCGGTTCAGTGAGTCCCTTCTGATCTCTCAGCTGATCAAGGTACGAGCAGAACTTAGAGTCAGGGTCGGGAAAAGGATGCCTTCCTTCCCAGTCCAACTCCTCGTACTCCTCGTCCTGTTCCACAGGATCTCCACGACTCTGAGTGGTGGGTGTACCATGTACGTTAGAAGACCGTATCCTGTGCAAGTCTCGGCGCTTGTCCGAGACCGGTTTGGAAGTCTTACCAGGTAGATGCCCCGCACAGAGGACATTAATGTTCTTTTGGCCCGAATACACTACTTCCACTTCCGGGAGGGTTCGTGTTTCTTCTTCGGACCACACTACCTGGCGAGGGCGCGCCG